TTGAATACTAAATAAAGGAAACCTATTAGTAAATAATTATCCTTGATAAAGGAAAGTAAATGGTTGAACTTCTATTAGATCTACAGATATCTGGAAATTTATTCTCTGTGGGTGGCTGACGCAACACGGCCACAATTCTAGGAGAAATTACATGATGATCCAAATGCAATGAATTCTGGGATACTAAACTACAGATTAGTAGTGTTAGTTAATTATGACACTTAGTACAGGAAATACATCCCATTGTACTAAGGATTAGTAAATGAGTATTAAATGATTATGAAGCCTAACACAGGAAATACATCCTATTTATCCTATTAGGGATGAGAATAATTGTTGGAAATTTCCAACAACTACACCTTCCATATTGCTATGGTAATATTACTACAATCGGAGCTCCAGCTAACACACCCTCTCACTGTGACTGCCTGCGCCTGACTGAATCCCCTGCATAGTCCCCCTCCTCGTCTAATATATCTATCTGTGTGAAATAGTTAAATCCGTTTATATGATATTCAGTTAATAATTATCTGTTTTGTATATTCATTCATGTTTCAGTAAGTGCAAAGATATCTATTGTTTCTGGGTAAACAAGAGCATTTAAGTTGTTTATTTTATTTCTTAGACTCCTACTGTTCGTGTAATATATATCCTAAGTGTATTGTTATTTTGAGGCCCATTTTCTTCCCCTTCCCTGTTCATTTTGCCATTTTCCCCCCACCAACATATACTTTTATTGCCTCTTTCTCCATATCAATTCCATACCACTATCTACTAACAGTTTATACCCAAACAAACCCCTCCAACCACAAGTTCAAACGAGTTGGCAGCAGCAACAACCCTAGCCTTGGATAAATGGAACCCATTCCGAGCATACATGTCATTCCTTCCATAGAAGTGTTCCCAGTTATCAGAGAATGATATTGCATTTGATTTACAATATTTGTTCAGTCGGTAATTGACACCAAGTGTCACCAACAACCATTCATTTCCAACTCCCTTTCTTGGAAGAATGCCACATAAGATCTTTGAAGAATGCCACATATGATCCCATGGGCAGTAGTGGACAGAATTCCCAACCCAATGGTATTTAGATATATTTATTCATATAGTTTAAAAGTTTACATACCCATCTCTTAGGATATTGGTTAGGTTAGGTAATCCCTTACAAAACCGAGAATCTCCGAGATTGGAGATAGAATATCTGGGATTTGATAAAAACTGGCCAGTTTGTGTGAGGGTTTGAGGACTCACAACCACTCTTTTGTCTGTGCGTTAATACCGAAGCCCATCACCCAGGCGGTCTACCCACCGTAACCCATCACCCAGGCGGTCCATCCACCGTAGCCCATCACCCAGGCGGCCAAACCACCGTAACCCATCACCCAGGCGGTCCACCCACCGTAGCCCATCACCCAGGCGGCCCAACCACCGTAACCCATCACCCAGGCGGCCCAACCACCGTAACCCATCACCCAGGCGGCCAAACCACCGTAGCCCATCACCCAGGCGGCCCAACCACCATAACCCATCACCCAGGCGGCCAAACCACCGTAGCCCATCACCCACAAATTATGACAGCAAACCACGAGTTCCATTTAACGACGACGAACTGGATAATTTAAATACGATCTGGTCGGCTCAACAGGCATAAATCCATGCCCGCAACGCGCACCTGGGGTACCAACACGGAATACTGTAAATAAACAGATTAAGGGTCAGTAGAATGCACCTTTCATCTTTAGATGACCCTGCAGAGGGCCAGCAGATTTTAACTATGCTGACCGAGAGCTCGCCAAGTGAAATTTCCTCAATGACCGAGTGCAGGATCAAGGAAGAGAGTGTACTTCAGGAATATATGCTAGTAGAACAACGTCCTAATCAAAGGCAGAAGACTGCCCAGATAAATGTCCAATCCTCAGAAGAGGAGATATTACAGGACTTCACTCGTTCAGAAAGTAATCAAGAAATGGGTTCAAGGGAGCCGGTCGGCCGAGCGAACAGCACGCTGGACTTGTGATCCTGTGGTCCTGAGTTCGATCCCAGGCGCCGGCGAGAAACAATGGGCAGAGTTTCTTTCACCCTATGCCCCTGTTATCTAGCAGTAAAATAGGTACCTGGGTGTTAGTCAGCTGCCACGGGTTGCTTCCTGGGGGTGGAGGCCTGGTCGAGGACCGGGCCGCGGGGACACTAAAAAAGCCCCGAAATCATCTCAAGATAACCTCAAGATAAGGGCAGAGGCAGCAAATACAGACAAGGAAGATCAGCTGAAATGCTGGGCAAGAACTCATCAGGTGAAGTTCCTTCAGTGCTCATGTGCAGGATAGAAGTGGCACCTCTGAACAGTGCCCTTACTAAACATGCAGGCCAGGATCAGGAAGTGGGTTGGAAGATCCAACCTTCATGGAAAATAGTTAAGATTTTAGAACAGAGATGCGTGGGTGTTTCCATCTGCTCTCATTTTGAGGGAGGAGTTAGGTTACAGGATCTGGCCAACGGGAAATGCAATACAACCTGAGGATCCACAGGAACGAGCGAAGTTCTTAAAGGAAGTTGGGCCCCTCAGGATACAATGCGGAAAGGAGAGCACAGAATAAAGTAAAAGAGGAACCAGCAGTAAGTCAGTTACTGGAAGGCATAGATCCAATTACTTTCCCTTGGGATGCCGAGGGTGAGGTGTGTGGAAAATGTTGCTCTGCCAAAGAAGGAACCACAACGAAGGAGCAGCGCTTAGGCGTGAAGACTATTACTAAGGCAGGATATTTCCTAAGGAGCGAATCTTATAAAAAATACTTTAGTGCAGTGTATAGTGTAAATAATTCATAATCAGATCAGTGTACAAAAAAGTGCTACCTCAACCACTCTCATACAACTAAGTAAACCATTAGTATTAGACTAGTGCAGAACAAAATTAGTGAACTCACAAAGAAAAATAGAAATATAATAATTTTGTTACAGATTTCCTTAAGTTGAATCGGAAGTGTTTTCCTTTGCTGCCCCGTGTGCAATTCCACCCCTCGATGTCGAGCTAGTGATGATTATTTTCCAAACGAGACAAGTTAAGGGTAAATTGAACATAATCCTTCTAATATACCCATTGTTTTATAAGGACGAGTGGAGTGTGGAGGGCATCACAGAGCCCTCTGGCGGGCTCTGGTGCCCGCCAGAGGGAGTGTTTCATACCTTAAGTGAAGCTGCATCCTGATTAGTAGGCGGCAGACGTGCGCGTTCTCCCCGGGCAGAGGGAGGACAACCCCACCTTGCTAAGCACGCACCTTTTACTCCATCCACTAGATTTGAGCTTCTATCTACATATTGGCTGTATATCAGGACTGGACCAGTCTTCCATTCCACCCTTCGGCCACCCAAGAAATTTAGACTTGCTTCATCTACCACCCACAGAAGCCATAGCTCAAGGTGAACGTCTGTCACTTGTGGCTATTTTCTCTCTCACACGTGGGTCACCGCCATAACCCATGGGGTGACCACCTTAACAATATTTTCCTTAGTGTGTCGCATGTATTGATATGGTATATAATATAGTTTTTATGGTGGCACTATTGACACCCATGGTGCAGGGGGTGAAATACCATTCTGTTTAGCTCAGGGGTTTCGGGTGTGAGTACCAGTGGTCAGCATTACACTACTCTAGAGTGGTTTTCGGAAGTGTAGAATTGATCACTCTATCTTCTGGTTCAAAATTAGTCCATAAAACGTCGTTGTAAGTACAAAATGGAGCTAGAAGCATCGAATAAGAGTTTATCGAACCAAGAGATCGGAAGTAAAAAAAAGTTTAGTAATCACTGGTCTAAAAGAACCAAGATGGCAATCATAATTTATTCTAAGAAACTGCTGTGTATCTATAAGTTTGAGGGCAGACGAGTTAAGGTGTGTCTGGTGCGGCTGAGTGCATGTAACAGAAGAATGGGGTTTTGACTAAGATTGTTGGCATTCTCACTCAGGTATTATTGCTTGACAAAACAGAGGGTGAGAGGAATGCTGTAGTACATTTAACTTGATTTTTACGGCGGTTTTACCAGGTGTGTTACTAAACTTTTTTTAATCCGTATTTGTTTTAGGCAATATTTGTATTCTTCCTTAATATCAATTAATCCTCCCTATCCAATTACTTCTTCCATGTTACACTGGTTGGCAGCTAATGTGAGATTATGTAAATAATCAGCCTCGTGCTTTAACTGACTGTTCGTTGATGCTACAAAAGAAATTTAAAGTAAAATAGCATCAGTAAGGGAATGCATAACCTTATAGATATAAATGAGCAACTAAAATAATTTGTGAAATCGATAAGGTTATTTTAGATAGTCTCCCCTTTATTTATCACTGGGGAGGGTACCAGCTTATTTATTGTCAAAGATTATGTTTTAAAGTGTGGACGACGACTGTTGAGTCGTGTGCGATGTCAGGTTCAGATGATTGAATTCAACAGGATAAGGCTGTCAATAATTGCTCAACTTAACAAATAAGTTTAAGCATTCATCATATCAATTGATGTGTTGACAAAGTTGACCCTGTAACCACTTGAGTCTATAATCCCCGTGAACGATGAATAGAAATGTTGTGAGGACGAGGATGGACCCTATGAGATGATGTATGTGTAATTAAGTCTTCATAGCGATTTCAGTTTGTGATAATATTGTTATATTTGCCTTATTACTGTTTGTTCATAATTACTAATTACTCTTTCCTGACATTGCTGATTCACCGTTGGTGAACAATTTACATTTAACGGCTATATCATCAAGAGGATCATATAATACTTCTCGTATATGAGAGTTAGTATATGCTTGTACTGTGCCTTCTCTACATATGTATAAACCTTTGCTAACAGGTTCTCAGATTAAAACCACTTATTAAATCAAGCATCCGAAATAAACAGTCAAAATTCATGAACTTGATATGGTACGTAATTATAGAAGCTCTCAATTAATCCTTGTGGCATTGAATTGCATATCTTCAAAAACTAAAATAATCGTTCTGACCTGTAGGTTATGAGCCCCCAGTTCTCCATAGCGCCGCCTGAGTAGTCAGGAATAGCAATCATGTCTTGTTTGGGGAGAGGGAATGGTATGTTGAAGTAGTCCTCGTAGAAGGTGAGAACTTCTGGGCCGGTATTGATGGCGTAGTCTGCCTGCTGTATGGCATCTTCACGAACCCAGACTGTAAATGACAACGTAAATATATTGATAAGTGAGAAAGGATCCAAGACAGCATCAACTCACCAAACATCCGACTGCTAATTCATGCATCCCTTTACTATAATAAATTTGTAGAATTTGAAACGTTAAGGTAATCTTGAATTACTAATCCGGTTAATTTATCCAAAACAGCAGTTCCCTCTACTAAGACCATGCTTGATTGCAGATAGACTTTCCAACAGGGTAACTACCTGAAGCACTCTTGATAATCTACTGCCAAATGGTTAAGGAACAATAAAATTAGTGTTCTTGATTAGACGCCACATGTGGGAAAACTTACCGGTGGGAAATCTATTTATTTTTATTTATTGTTCATTAAATAAATTATATTTAATTTATTTATTCATTCAAAAGCGGACTGAACAGCTTTAATGTTTATCCCATAGACGAACTTCCCTTCACAGTCTTGGGTGGTTATATGATTAAATTTGGTTATACCGTAATTAAACGGTTAACTTATAATTAATTTCACTAAACCATTATTAAACGGTAAATGGGTTAAGTGTATATAAATGGTTAGTATAAATAAGATATAGCCAGCTTATCTGACTTGAAGGCTTCGATGGTCATAGAAATCAGGTATTGTATATGCTGGTGGCCACTGCTGGGTTAATGGCATCGTCTCTGGTAACGCCACCTCAACATGAATGAAAATTTCACACTTCTAGTGAGTCCCGACTCCAGCCCGTCGAAACGTTACAATGTAGCCTAGCACAATTTTATTATTATTGTATATTGAACAACTCAATCAAGTTGAGTTATTTTGTAGATTCACCCCTTAGGGAAAGTCATTTCTTATGACCGCCTAAACCTTTTGTCATACTAAAATTGACAAATTAAGTTAAGGAATTGACGGATAATTTAGGCACTTCCCTGTAGTTGTCGTCATCGAAGACGTCCGTTTCCATAGGTATTCACTTCAAGTACCAGCGGCACGCTCTGTGTATCACGATCAGGAATTCCAGTACTCGCTCACTATCTATCTAAAATGGCCGACTTCCCTCCCGGTCCTGTTCAGGTGATGCGTCCCTCGAAGGTTTTAGTGGATTCCGGGAGGTGTTTTATGTAATAAATTTTGTTACTGATAATTCCGTTTAGCTTATAAAAATGTGTTATTTACTAGTTTCAGTCATCCAACTGTGGGGTTTAATATTAAATTGAGTAAATACGTTTTGGAACGAGATGTTGCGACGAGAAAATTAGTAATCTCGTTTTCTAGATCAAATTTGTCACGAACCCTATCTCCTTGATGACTGATTAAATTATTTTCTTTATATTGTAATTGATACAAAACAACAGCATTTTATTTTCTGCTTGTTGCATTAAACAATTTATGGGTAATGTGAAAGTTTTTTCCCTCATCACAATATCCACACCTCAGTAAAAACATCAGAAGAAAGTTATACAACATCAGGCCTGTTGTCAAATGTTAGGTAAGTACTATGACTATTTTTTTTTTTTTTTTTTTTTTTTTTAGATATATACAAGAGTTGTTACATTCTTGTACAGCCACTAGTACGCGTAGCGTTTCGAGCAGGTCCCTGGAATACGATCCCCTGCCGCGAAGAATCGTTTTATCATCCAAGTACACATTTTACTGTTGCGTTAAACAGAGGCTACAGTTAAGGAATTGCGCCCAGTAAATCCTCCCCGGCCAGGATACGAACCCATGACATAGCGCTCGCGGAACGCCAGGCGAGTGTCTTACCACTACACCACGGAGACTGTTAGTGGTATGGTAATTTATGGTATAACCTAAGATAGTAGTTAACAATCAGGTCACGAATTTTGAAGGAGCTGGAGAAGTTGTTCACGAAGGAAGTATTATGTTCCCACCGCTAAGACACAAGCCACCACACCACTAAGACAATCCACCACACCGCTAAGACACAAACAACCACACCACTAAGACACAAGCCACCACACCACTAAGACACAATCCACCACACCGCTAAGACACAAACCACCACACCACTAAGACACAAACCACCACACCACTAAGACACAAACCACCACACCACTAAGACACAAACCACCACACTACTAAGACACAAACCACCACACCACTAAGACACAAACCACCACACTACTAAGACACAAACTACCACACCACTAAGACACAAACCACCACACCACTAAGACACAAACCACCACACTACTAAGACACAAACCACCACACCACTAAGACACAAACCACCACACTACTAAGACACAAACCACCACACTACTAAGACACAAACCACCACACCACTAAGACACAAACCACCACAAAACTAAGACACAAACCACCACACCACTAAGACACAAACCACCACACCGCTAAGACACAAACCACCACACCACTAAGACACAAACCACCACACCACTAAGACACAAACCACCACACCACTAAGACACAAACCACCACACTACTAAGACACAAACCACCACACCACTAAGACACAAACCACCACACTACTAAGACACAAACCACCACACCACTAAGACACAAACCACCACACTACTAAGACACAAACCACCACACCACTAAGACACAAACCACCACACCACTAAGACACAAACCACCACAAAACTAAGACACAAACCACCACACCACTAAGACACAAACCACCACACCACTAAGACACAAACCACCACAAAACTAAGACACAAACCACCACACCACTAAGACACAAACCACCACACCACTAAGACACAAACCACCACACTACTAAGACACAAACCACCACAAAACTAAGACACAAACCACCAAGACACAAACCACCACACCACTAAGACACAAACCACCACACTACTAAGACACAAACCACCACACCACTAAGACACAAACCACCACACCACTAAGACACAAACCACCACACCACTAAGACACAAACCACCACACTACTAAGACACAAACCACCACACCACTAAGACACAAACCACCACACCACTAAGACACAAACCACCACACCACCAAGACACAAACCACCACACCACTAAGACACAAACCACCACACTACTAAGACACAAACCACCACACCACTAAGACACAAACCACCACACCACTAACACACAAACCACCACACCACTAAGACACAAACCACCACACCACTAAGACACAAACCACCACACCACTAAGACACAAACCACCACACCACTAAGACACAAACCACCACACCACTAAGACACAAACCACCACACCACTAAGACACAAACCACCACACCACTAAGACACAAACCACCACACCACTAAGACACAAACTACCACACTTCTAAGACACAAACTTACAAAAGGATACCGGAAGCCCTATCTCATAACCAAACAAGGATCTTGCAAAAATGAATTCAAGAGAACGTAATTATTTTCGTTTAGAGCTTTTCATGCAAATGATACTGATTCAAAGCTTCCGTTTGCTTCGTAACAATATGGGAAATATGTGGTTTTTATATTTTCTTATATATAAAATATTTTACACGAAAATTTTGATCGTTAGGTCAGTCGTATTAAAGCCTCTGAGAGAACGTGAGGTCTGGCCTTATCTTTCTCTGAAGAGAACGTGAGGTCTGGCCTTATCTTCCTCTGAAGAGAACGTCAGGTCTGGCCTTATCTTCCTCTGAAGAGAACGTGAGATCTGGCCTTATCTTCCTCTGAAGAGAACGTGAGGTCTGGCTTTATCTTCCTCTAAAGAGAACGTGAGGTCTGGCCTTCCTCTGAAGAGAACGTGAGGTCTGGCTTTATCTTCCCCTGAAGAGAACGTGATGGTGGGCATTACCTAGCTATGAAGAGAACGTGAGGGTTGGCATTACCTCCCTCTGAAGAGATAGTGAGGTCTGGCATTACCTCCCTCTGAAGAGAGCGTGAAGGTTGGCATTATCTACCTCTGAAGAGAGCGTGAAGGTTGGCATTATCTACCTCTGAAGAGAGCGTGAAGGTTGGCATTATCTACCTCTGAGAGAACGTGAGGGTTGTCATTACCTACCTCTGAGAGAACGTAAGGGTTGGCATTACCTACCTCTGAGAGAACGTTAGGGTTGTCATTATCTACCTCTGAGAGAACGTCAGGGTTGTCATTATCTACCTCTGAGAGAACGTGAGGGTTGTCATTATCTACCTCTGAGAGAACGTGAGGGTTGTCATTACCTGCCTCTGAAGAGAATGTGTGGGTTGGCATTATCTACCTCTGAAGAGAGTGTGAAGGTTGGCATTACCTACCTCTGAAGAGAACGTGAAGGTTAGCATTACCTACCTCTGAAGAGAACGTGAAGGTCAGCATTACCTACCTCTGAAGAGAACGTGAAGGTCAGCATTACCTACCTCTGAAGAGAACGTGAGGGTTGTCATTACCTACCTCTGAGAGAACGTAAGGGTTGGCATTACCTACCTCTGAGAGAACGTTAGGGTTGTCATTATCTACCTCTGAGAGAACGTCAGGGTTGTCATTATCTACCTCTGAGAGAACGTGAGGGTTGTCATTATCTACCTCTGAGAGAACGTGAGGGTTGTCATTACCTACCTCTGAGAGAACGTGAGGGTTGGCATTATCTACCTCTGAGAGAGCGTGAAGGTTGGCATTACCTCCCTCTGAAGAGAGCGTGAAGGTTGGCATTATCTACCTCTGAAGAGAGCGTGAAGGTTGGCATTATCTACCTCTGAAGAGAGCGTGAAGGTTGGCATTATCTACCTCTGAGAGAACGTGAGGGTTGTCATTACCTACCTCTGAGAGAACGTAAGGGTTGGCATTACCTACCTCTGAGAGAACGTTAGGGTTGTCATTATCTACCTCTGAGAGAACGTCAGGGTTGTCATTATCTACCTCTGAGAGAACGTGAGGGTTGTCATTATCTACCTCTGAGAGAACGTGAGGGTTGTCATTACCTACCTCTGAGAGAACGTGAGGGTTGGCATTATCTACCTCTGAGAGAGCGTGAAGGTTGGCATTATCTACCTCTGAAGAGAGCGTGAAGGTTGGCATTATCTACCTCTGAGAGAACGTGAGGGTTGTCATTACCTACCTCTGAGAGATCGTAAGGGTTGGCATTACCTACCTCTGAGAGAACGTTAGGGTTGTCATTGCCTACCTCTGAGAGAACGTTAGGGTTGTCATTGCCTACCTCTGAGAGAACGTTAGGGTTGTCATTGCCTACCTCTGAGAGAACGTTAGGGTTGTCATTGCCTACCTGTGAGAGAACGTTAGGGTTGTCATTGCCTACCTTTGGGAGAACGTTAGAGTTGTCATTACCTACCTCTGAAGAGAACGTGAAGGTTAGCATTACCTACCTCTGAAGAGAACGTGATCATTGGCATTAGAGTCAACGTGGCCGAAGTCGGAGACGACGAAGGCGACGAGGTAGGTGGACATTGGCACGCTGGTGTTGAAGTGGTCCCACTCCCACCCCTCCTGGCCCTCGCTGTTCAAGTAGGTCAGTTGTTAGTATATTTACTCACAAATTCCTTTATTTCAAACAATATCAATAGTTATTCAGTAAAGTTTTAAACTATAATTTAGTTTTTTTTATTTTCTTACACAGGGAAGGTTTCATATTTCGGCATGTTTGATATTGAGGACATAGAAGCCTCTCTGGCGAGGAAGATCTCAAAGGAAGCTTTCATGGCGGGTTCGTCGAAACAGGGAAAGGCTCTCCTGGCGTCCGTCGACTCGAACTGAGTCGACGCCATAAACCTGCAGTGAACAAGAACAGTTGTTTACTTCCAGATTAGTTACCTGATACTTCGTCAAGACCTGAAAATAAGTGAATACAAATTCAATTGGATAAAGTTAATAAATGATCGGAGTAAACGAGAGCGTTTACTGGATAATGTACAACTTGGACTAATCACCAACTTGGCCGGACTCCAGATTGTTGGACTTTTCAGAATATCATGGTACATGGGTTGAGGCACGCGTCTGAGGGGACCCAAGTCACCACTTCGATACTTGTACCCTGTTACAAATAATTGTTGTTATGGTTAACCTCCTGTAGAGGCACTGTTGGCCGACCCGAGGCCGTGTCTTTCATCTCCTGAGTGGAAGCGTGTCTCTCACCTCATGAGTGGAAGCATGTGTCTCACCTCCTGAGTGGAAGCATGTGTCTAACCTCCTGAGTGGAAGCATATGTCTCACCTCCTGAGTGGAAGCATGTGTCTCATCTCCTGAGTGGAAGCATGTGTCTCACCTCCTGAGTGGAAGCATGTGTCTAACCTCCTGAGTGGAAGCATGTGTCTAACCTCCTGAGTGGAAGCATGTGTCTCACCTCCTGAGTGGAAGCATGTGTCTCACCTCCTGAGTGAGGCATGTGTCTCACCTGACAAAGTGTTCCTCATTACAGTGATGGGAGTGGAAGATTACATACACCACACAAACAGCTGAATTAGGTATCCGTATATGTAAATATTCAACATGTCATTGGTATTTAATTGTTTACATTTGTATACAGCTCTCAAGCATATCTGAAATAGATTTATTCGCCAAAATTAATTGCGAGACTCCAGAGAGTTTGGGACATAAATAGAAGCTGCTAAGTAAACGGTAGGAGAGACAGTGTGGCCAGTGTGTTGTATAAAGAGTACTTTGCAGAAGATCTACTTCTCTATTGAGTCCCATCTACTCCGGGTAGATGGGACTTGATACCCTGGGAAGGCAGCCCATCTAGAGGAAGGAAAATCCTGATTTTAAACCTCTGCTGCCTTGCGGCCATACCCCGTTTTTGGGAAAGGCTTCAGGAGTCAACCTCGAGGAAAAATCCGGAGTTGGAGCCCCTAAGGTAGTTCGTTGTTGACGTCGACCTCGTTCTGGCAGCTCCTGCGACGGTGCTGGAACCATGTGTATTGGCATTTGCCTTTACATTGGATAATTTCAGCAACGTGGAGAAGGGGGGATCTGCTGCATGGGTAACAGCTTCTCCTCCATATCTACCTACCCAGGCTTTGGACCCTGGAGAGAACACTCCAGCTTCGCCTCATAGCGTCGAACCAAAACGGAAAGCGACAGTCTACCGGTTTTAAGTCTTCTGCACGAATGGCGAAGTGTGCGATGCCAGGGGTTGCTTCCGACGGTGGGAGGGATCATCGCACCCCACTGGGCAGCTACCGCCCGTCTCAAGCTGAGCAAACCCCAGCCAATAAGGTGTTGCCTCGCCACGGTCCGTTAACCTCACTGGGTGCGTGGGGTTTAGAGTAAAAACTGACAAGGGGCCAGACAACTTTGTACCAAGCAATACCAAACCTAAAAAGAAAATATCAACTGCTCTAAAGCTGGGTACATGGAACGGCAGGACACTGACACCAGGTTTCTCTGACGACCTGCAAGAAATCAACGACGCCGGAAAAGCAGCAATCATCGATAGGGAGCTGAGCAAACTGCAGATGGATATTGTTACTCTCCAAGAGACCAGGCTTCCAGGATCAGGATCTGTGAGAGAGAGTGCCTTCTCTTTCTTCTGGTAAGGATCTCCTCCAGATGAGACCAGAGAACATGGTGTGGGATTTGCCGTCAGGAATGCACTGTTGGGACACATTATGCCACCGACGGGGGAAACCGAACGAATTCTGTCTCAGTAACTGCTCTCCCAAATTGGACCAGTCAATGTAATTAGTGCATATGCACCAACCCTGACTTCTCCAGCAGAGCCAAAGGAAAAATTCTACGATGACCTCAACAGTGTCATAGCGAGAATCCCTGTAAAGGAGCCACTGTTCATCCTCGGCGACTTTAACGCCAGAGTGGGTGTCGAGCACAACATTTGGCCCACTTGTCTGGGTCAATTCGGCATAGGGAGGATGAATTAGAACGGGCAACGTCTGCTAGAACTCTGCTGGCTTCATGGTCTCTGTGTCACCAACACGTTCTTCGGCACAAAGCCTCAGCACCGAGTCTCTTGGAGACACCCCAGATCCAAACACTGGCACCAGCTTGACCTGAATCTTACCAGGCATGCAAGTCTATCCAGTATCAAGATTATGCGTAGCTACCAGAGTGTTGTCTGTGAGACCGACCACTCCTTGGTATGTAGCAGGGTCAAGATGCAAACAAAGAAGATTCATCATTCGAAAAAGAAGGGCAGACCTCGCATTGACACCACCAAGATCCGCAACCAGGACAAGGTGGAAGATTTTGCACGTTTGCTCAATGATACTCTCCCTTGTCCAGCTTGGGTCATCGCCTGTTCAAGATGGGAGAACTTCAGAGACGATGTGTTCAACGCTGCCATGTCCACCTTTGGCAAGAAAACCAGCAGATCGGCAGACTAGGTCAAGGCTCACTCGGAAGAGATAACACCTGTCATCGAAGAGAAGAGAAAAGCCTTAGCAGCCTACAAAGCCTGCCCAATTCAGCGCAACTTACAGATCCTTTGCGCCGTCTGCTGCAAAGTGCAGCAGACGGCGCATAGCTACTCTGAGCTATACGCCAGGGAGAATGAAGTCACCGAAGACGCACTGAGCGCCATTGAGTGCCCACCTGTGTTAATGGAGCTCGACAACGAACCTACCCTCGAAGAACTTAGCGAGGCCCTAGAGTTCCTTGCTTCTGGCAAAGCTCCTGGAAAAGACGGCATTCCTGCTGAGACCTTGAAGTGTTGCAGAGGTAGTCTGCTCACGGAGCTGCATGAAATTCTCTGCCTCTGCTGGGAAGAAGTAGAGGTGCCACAGGACATGAGGGGCGCAAACATCGTCACGCTGTATAAGAATAAAGGTGACAGGGGCGACTGCAACAATTACCATGGAATCTCCCTCCTCAGTATTGTCAGAAAGCTGTTTGCTCGAGTCACATTGAAGAGGCTCCAAGTACTTGCAGAGAGAGTTTATCCTGAATCACAATGCGGATTCAGAGCTAACAGGTCCACCATCGACATGGTCTTTTCCCTCAGACAACTGCAGGAGAAATGCAGGGAACAGAAGCAGCCACTCTTCGTAGCCTTCCTAGATCTGACGAAGGCCTTCGACCTCGTCAGCAAGGATAGCCTGTTCAAGATCCTTCCCAAGATCGGATGCCCACGCAGGCTCCTCAGCATCATCAGATCTTTCCATGAGAACATGAAGGGCACAGTGGTCTTTGATGGCCTAACATTAGACGCCTCTGACATCCGAAGTGGAGTAAAGCAGGGCTGCGTCTTGGCTCCAACCCTATTCGGGATTTTCTTCACAGTTATGCTGCAGCATGCCTTCAGATCTGCCACAGAAGGCATCTACCTCTGGACCAGGTCGGATGGACAGCTTTTTAACCTCGCCAGGCTGAGAGTCAAGACAAAGGTTCGGCTAAGGTGTCTGTGCGACTTCCTTTTTGCCGACGACGCAGCAGTCACTGCCCACTCAGTCAAAGACCTCCAATGGCTCATGACCCGCTTCAGCGAGGCCTGTAAAGCTTTCGAACTCACCATCATCCTGAAGAAAACGCAGATCATGGGTTAAGGAGTGGACTCCCCACCTGACATCGGCATCTCCGATTCCAAACTAGAAGTCGTTCACGACTTCGTGTACCTGGGCTCCACAATCTCTGACTCCCTCTCTCTTGATACTGAGCTAAACAAACACATTGGTAAGGCATCTACTACCATGTCCAGACTGACAGAGAGAGTGTGGGCCAACAATAGGCTGATTGAGTATACAAAGATTGAGGTTTACAGAGCCTGTGTCCTGAGCACTCGCCTTTATGGCAGTGAGTCTTGGACACTCAACGCACGTCAAGGAAAGACACCCGAATGCCTACCACATGGCGCTGCCTTCACCACATCTTGGACATCACCTGGCAGGACAAGGTGACAAACCACAACGTCCTGGGGAGAGCAAGAATCACCAGCATGTACGCAATGCTGAAACAGAGATGAATGCGTTGGCTCGGGCACGTTGTTCGAATAGGCGATGGCAGGATCCCCAAGGATCTCCTGTATGGAGAGCTGACGCAGGGAAAGCGTCCAACAGGCAAGCCCCAACAACGGTAAAAAGACGTATGCAAGAGGGACCTGAAAGCCATGGACGTCGATCTTGCTACGTGGGAAACACTGGCTACAGACCGTTCAGCCTGGGGGCAGTCTGTTCAAAGAGGTCTCTCCAAGTTCGCGGAGTCACTTGCCAAGAAATCGGAGGCAAAGAGACAGAGAAGGATGGGACTTCGTTTGTGCTCAGTTTGGGATGGACTGCCATTCTCGGAATGGCCTCATCAGTCACACCAGACGCTGCACCAGGATTGACAACCAGAGCGCAACTCCATAGTCTCCCGAGACTGAAGGATACCTACTACTTTGCAGAAAAAGTGTTTACCCAATTAACTGCTAACTCCAGTAGAACGCGGTACTTGTAAAATTATTTTTATTCATGTGGGTTATTGCTTTGTTATTAGCTATTGGAACTTTGAAAGGTTATGTTCTAATGAAAACCAGTTTATTAAGGTGGGTTATATACTTGTGGAACGCAGGTGAGTATTGGTTTTAGAGGTTGCTGCTGCCGACACACAGCCGTGAGTAGGCCCATGGAGGTGAGTCGGTGAGTAAGGATGTATCTCCAACACCTACCATGGGGAAATACACAAGTTGTCGTGCATTTATTCACTTAAGAAGAGTTTCACTGAGTTCTCCGGTGAAGTATTTTCCTCTGCAAATATCTCAGCATTGTTCTTGATGTATAAAGTGACCTATGTAGTGTAAAATATCTCAACTGCTTCCATATATTTCCACCTTTTTCCGTCCAGGCTGAATAATTACTGGTGATAAGTTGTGATTTGCTGTAATATTATATGTGTCTTGCTACCATTCTTTCGTGGTGCCTGGATTGGGAAGGGGGGGGGGGTGAAAGGGGTGTCTTTATCACAGTTATTGGTTAACCCAGATTTTGTAATATTATCATATTTATTTTGTGTAAAATATTGTTTAGGTTTCATAGTGTACTCTTAATAGCTTTTTATATCTTTTATCACTTTGCCTGTAGAAAGCAGGACTCATAGGGTGCCAATAATTTTTTGAGCTATAGGCCCGTATCGGGACCAGACCTGAAAGAGATACTCTGACATACACGAACTATTACAAACTTGTAATAGTTTGAATTATTAATTTAGGGTTTAATTATAATTTGTACAAACTATCACTAAAATTTACCTTGTGTTGCCGTCTTGGTCCTTGTAGGTAGACCTGTAGAAGCCTCTGAGCTCATCATTGAGGTAGCCGAGGAACTGCATGGAGAGGATGTAGTTCCTGCCCACCTCCAGCTCCTCCCCCAGCACCCCGGTGTAGAACTGGCGGTCGTTGTCGTAGAGGTTCTGCTGCACTTCTATGCCAGTGCCATTCACGTCGTCGGATGGCACCACCTGTTGGAGATCAGTGGTCATTAGTACCACCCATGGGAGATCAACATTAATCAACACCACCTGTGGGAGATCAACATTAATCAACACCACCTGTGGGAGATCAACATTAATCAACACCACCTGTGGGAGATCAACATTCATCAGCACCACCTGTGGGAGATCAACATTCATCAGCACCACCTGTGGGATATCAACATTCATCAGCACCACCTGTGGGAGATCAACGATCATCAGCACCACCTGTGGGAGATCATCGATCATCAGTACCACCTGTGGGAGATCAACATTCATCAACACCACCTGTGGGAGATCATCGATCATCAACACCACCTGTGGGAGATCATCGATCATCAACACCACCTGTGGGAGATCATCGATCATCAACACCACCTGTGGGAGATCATCGATCATCAACACCACCTGTGGGAGATCATCGATCATCAACACCACTTGTAGGAGATCAACATTCATCAACACCACCTGTGGGAGATCATCGATCATCAACACCACCTGTGGGAGATCATCGATCATCAACACCACTTGTAGGAGATCAACATTCATCAACACCACCTGTGGGAGATCATCGATCATCAACACCACCTGTGGGAGATCATCGATCATCAACACCACCTGTGGGAGATCATCGATCATCAACACCACCTGTGGGAGATCAACAATCATCAGCACCACCTGTGGGAGATCAACAATCATCAACACCACCTGTGGGAGATCAACATTCATCAGCACCACCTGTGGGAGATCAACAATCATCAGCACCACCTGTGGGAGATCAATGATCATCAGCACCACCTGTGGGAGATCAATGATCATCAGCACCACCTGTGGGAGATCAACAATCATCAGCACCTCCTGTGGGAGATCAATGATCATCAGCACCACCTGTGGGAGATCAATGATCATCAGCACCACCTGTGGGAGTGGTGCTGATGATAGTTGATCATCACCCCAGTTGGCCTATAAGACCATAAAATCATTGCCCGAAACGCTATGCGTACTAGTGGCTTTAGGTATTTATGTACTAGCTCTATCTATAAATCAATCAGAATGTTTCTAACTGCATCTATGTATGTACTTTTCCTAAATGAAATATTATTATTATTATTATTATTATTATTATTATTATTATTATTATTATTATTATTATTATTATAATTCTCCGTGGAAGGCTGCGTGAAGCTAAGTATAAAGTCTAGCTTTCAACCTTGGACAAACAAATATACAATCAGATAGATACTCTCTCTTATAGAGAGATTATTATTACAATACAAATAAAATTCAGTATAATAAAATAAACTTTTATTCATAAATGCTCTGTCTGATGTATAGTTGGGTTTGTTATACCCAATTATAGTTGGGTTAGTTTATACAGGTTTACAGTTAATTATTTACCAATGAGAGTTTTAAAAACAGTATAACATGAATGTTTGATGATGAAAATACAGTTTAAAGGTCAATTTAATCTAATCACTCCGTAGATTTGTACACCAAAATTTCACACCCTCAATTCAAGGGCTAACTCGGATCAAAATCCCACCCAAGATACAGTTCTTGCAGCGAATGTCTCACTTCCATTGGGTTCAAATTGACTGTCAGTAAGCCATCTCTTTTTTGTGTAGAAAACAGCAGTTCCTTCAAAATTACATTTACCCACCTGGGGATTTTCCTGCTGACTTGTTGTTTTATTATATCCTTAAACCTGCCACAACATCATATAAATCACTCATTCTTAAGTTGTGTTTTCTGACAATTAAGTTTACACTTCAGAAAACGTTGGAGTGGCCGTTGATTAGTGAGCGTCTAAGAAAATGAATTTATTGAGCTTCCTGAATGTACAATTTCCTTTAGAGAAAAGGATATCATTCGTTTATGACCTATTTATTTAAGTGTGGGTGTGGACATCAGGCCTGATGAGAGAGTGCAGTGAGTGCGAGGATGAACTCCCAACATTAGCCTTAACATTTCCTTAATTCACAATTAAACTTACTATGGTCAGCATTTTAAAAGTCCCATGGGTCCCATCCATACATGCTTAAATATTGACTGATAAATAACTTTGCTTTCGACCAGCTGTCAAAATTACCGAATTCATTCATAATGCCATTTGTTGCTGCTTTTAGGTCTCTAACAGAATTACAAAAATTGCCAAGTGGGTCCTTTGAGGACATGATATGTCATGCATGCTCGTCATAACACTTCACAGTAATCTCTCTGCCAAGTAATTTAAATTTGCGATCAATATAATTAATCCTTTAACTCACTCCTATGAGTTAAAGGAAACTCCAGCACATTTGGCTAGATTAAACGTAAGGTTGTATTCTGCACTGTATCTTTCACATGGTCTTGTCAAGGTTTCCATAGCATCTGGCCTTTGTGGTCGGTGCAAGAATAACTAGATCATCAGTATAACAAAAATCATTGACCTCAGTACTGTCTAAGAGCTAACTCGATTGGCTCTAAACTGTTTTGACAATGGATCAAGAAAGACAGCAAATAATATAGGACTAAAAACTGCACCTTGTTTGACTCCATTTTCGGTGAGAAACATTCAGAGGGAACATTGTTTCATTTCACAGCTAATTTGCATATCTCATAGGAAATATATAGATTTCTAGCAATGAAAGGACATATTTTTCTGTTAAAGTAATTCCCTTAAAAGTTTGTCGTGTTCAGTTTCGTCTAAAGACTTAGAAGCATTAAGAAACAGAGAACAGAGTTGCCTTGTGAGTTGTAGTAGTCAATAGTTTCCGTCACCAAGAAACTGTGACTCGAAGTGTTGTTGAGTCATCAAATTTATATGAAAACTGAAAGTTCGAGGTGTCGAGCTCATCAACTAGAAAGTCAATAAGTATATAATCAAAGATTTTCTTTAATAGTGCATTTAGAGTCATAGCTCTGTAGTTATCAGAGGAGAACATGGAAGCTTGATAGTTTTTTGGTATTTGAAAATGTACAGATGTTCTTACTACAGAAGACGATGTACCCTGGGACAGAAAGCCTGTAAGATTTGGATAGATAAACATACAGTTTCCGCGTTCCATATTTAAGGTTGCCAGAGTATCTATGTAACTATCATAACTATCATAACTGTCATAACTATCTATCACAAGGGCTATCATAACTCCCATTTTTTAGTTTTCCTAGAAAGGTTATCAACAACTTTTGGTCTTACAATATTATCTCTCTTTCTTAATCCCCTTTATGGCGTGAGCCGTGGTGCTACATCTCATCTGGGGGAACCAACCATTTCTTGGGCACCCGCGTCTTTCCATAGGTCAAGGTAAATGATAGATCAATTTTGAAATTTCATAACATGATCATTCTAACCAGGCATACTACTTCTATTTGTCTTAAGAGGAATACTCTCCCCCCCCCCCCCCCCGTCTTAATTACTACTGATATGATAAATGTAAAGAAGTCACTCAGATCGTTTTTATGCAAATTACAATGAAGATTATTTGAGACAATTGCATCCGTTGGGATCTGAGCATCATCAGACTTTTCGTTAGGCAGACATTTAAACTTATCCAGGTGAGCCACAGTGGTTTTCTCCCAGTTTAAGTGAGTACTGGGAGATTTGTGTTCTGACTGGCAGTAGCACCTTGTGAGTGAGGTGTACCGTAGGTGGCCACGACAGAAAGATCTCCAACCAGATAATCATCATCACTAGTCGCCTTATACTCAATGATGTGGGTATAAGGCGATGGTGATTATCTATCACCAGTTAGATCGACATCAATGATAAAGTGATCAATATGAGGCCTACCACTCCCATCCCTTGACAGAAAGATAAAGTTAATATTCAATTCATCATTGATAGCAGGTTTACGTAAACTTTCGGCGTCCATGAACGTATTAAATAGATTAAAGTATGTATCTTGTCGAGAAATACCGGTGTTAAGTCTCCTGCCACCATAAGGGTAAGCATCATGATTCGAATTAGGTAAATAAGATATTTCAGCCAGCGAGTCTCCATAAACCTGTGCATAGTTGCTAGTGAAACAAGTCATATACACACACATGTGAGCAAGTGCGCCCTGGTGCGGTATTGACAACATCAACTTTATATTGCATGTTGTTATGCCACAGGAAGGCATAAGGGGAAGGGAAGACAATCACCGCTCAACCACTTGGACGGTCGGGTATTGAACTGCATGAAGCGAGACCGTCGCTCTACCATCCACTCCAAGTGGTTGGTATAATACTACAGAAGTGTATTATACCATCTCAATTTCTCATCATTATTATGTATGTGAAAATTAGTAGGAGCCACTAGGAGGATTCGAACCCGCTCTCTTGGTACACCCAAGCTATTGCTCTAGACCACTACACCACAACATGATCAAAGGTAATGCAACCTGGGATTCCACTGAATTCTCTACGGTTCCTGAGGCTTCCAAATGAAGCCTAATCAGGGTTTCCCACATATTGCTCTTTCCCCCCTTGCTCTCTGGCTTTATGGTCCAGCAGGTCTACTTCCAACGCTTCTACTCAAAGCCTTGAGTAGAAGCCTACTTAGCTTGGGAGTACCAAAGTGAGCAGGTTCGAAACCTCCTCAAGACTCCTACTAATCTTCTCTTTGATACATCACGTTAATTTAATTTTATTGTGCATATTATTAGTCTTAGAATTATTAATATTATTGATATTATTATGATTCTTAATTAATGGCAATGTCTTCTCACAGACATAATAACATAGGATAAAAAACCCACAATTGCGTATTTGTGTATTTTATGTAAAGATTTACACCAAGTCTTTCGCACTCTCCTGAGTGCTTTATCAAAGTGAGTGTATGGGTAGGGCGAGAATTAAGTATTTGTTGTCGGAAATCCGAAACACACAATAACTAAGTCTCCCTTGATAGGAAAAGAGAATGGGTGATTCCGTGACGTCATCGACGCCACGTACTTATATCAACTCTAATTTCTTTTAAGCAACAGTCTAGTGTTTAAACTTAATAAAAAAGCGTTCAGTAGGACTGAATATAATTTCCAACAACAAAAAGTACAGCTTGAATCCCTTGCTACTGTTAAATAAAATCAGAAGTAGAACCAAAACATTGGAACAAGGAGGGATGCAGCGTCACAACACAGAATCATAACAAAGTACACGTTGTAGAGGTGGCTCCTTACGACCCGGCAAAACTCGTTAAGACACCCAAATTACGTGTCAACAGCGAGTAGTAACCACCACAGCCTCTACAACCACAGCAATACACCAGTATCTGTCCTACCAAGTATTTAATGGATAATAATTTGGCCATTTTATGTCATAAATAGGTAGGCGGTCATACTGTGGGACATACTGTTATATCCCAACCAAGAACGTATTCAACACTATACATATCCCCTTATTCATGTAATACCTGTTCCCTAAATGTTAATGTACAATACTAATGTTAAACATCCCAAACAGGTAATTGTGAGGGAAGTTACTGAAGCAGGAAGCTGCCCCCCCCCCCAATATAACCGTGATTTTATTTTGTTGTACACCAACCTTGCAGGCCTCCAGATAGCCGCCATTACGTGGCACTCTGAGGCACAGGGCCACACCCTAATCTGAAGTAACACCATAGTCAGCCTAATTGTGCCATTACAACCACTCAGCTAAGGCTTATTTATTTTATACTGTTGATAGATTAACTATAAGTAAATTTTTGTAGATTAGACCACCATACGTGGTATGATTTATAATTTATATATCAAGACTAGGTAAACAATTTGTGGAGTTGAAGGATTCACTTCAAAGTGGTTTAAGCCACAAATTGCCCCCCCCCCCCCAACTGTGTATGATAAGTTCTAGCAAGCTGAATTAGAATATACAGTCCACTAACTAAGAACTAACTCAGAAGAAAAATAATATAATATGAAAGTCAATTAAAAAATAAAATAAAGTGAATATTTAATATTCATAAAAAGAAAAAGAATAAAACCTCCTAGGATTTTCCCACATGTCGTTGAGATGTAAATCTTGTCCTATCCATACACTCAGACCTTGATTAGTCACTCAGGAGAGTGTGAAAGACTTGGTTTATCTTACCATAAAATACACACATTCATATCTTGAGATGATTTCTGGGCTTAGTGTCCCTGCGGCCCGGTTCTCGACCAGGCCTCCTTTTTGTAACATCCCCAGAAGCAGCCCGTAGCAGCTGTCTAACTCCTAAGTACCAATTTACTGGTAGGACGTTTACTAACAGGTGCATCAGGGTGAAAGAAACTCTGCCCATTTGTTTCCGCCTCCACCAGGGATCGAACCCGGAACCTCAGGACTAAGAATCCGAAACGCTGTCCACTCAGGTGTCAGGCCCTGACAACTGAGTGGATAAAAACCCACATGTGTGGGTTTTTACAATAATAGTAATATTATTGTAATTACTGTTATTAATATTGGCTAGCTGCTGAGAGTTACCCATTTCAGCCTGAGGTAGTGGAAGAGTTTTTATGTAACTGAAGAAACACTTGAAGAATAACTTGTTGGTGGATTACAATTCATTATGATTAATAAAAAAACATTGCTTACCTTGATGGTCTCATTCTTGGTTATTATGTCAACAATATGGAGGGTGATGTTGGTGGTCGGCTCAAGGACTTCCATCTCAATCTCCACATAACCCATGATGCTGAAGTTACCATTGATGAAAGGTTGAAGTTTGACGATATAGTGGAGAGGCTTGAGGGCCGTGGGTAGTCTAATATCAACTTCCTCGCTGCCTTGTGCCTCGACAGACGCCAGCTTGTGGTGGCTACTTCTCAATGGCTGCAACACGTCATCACTATCAGCCTCGCTAAACACTCCAACACGTCAACACTATCAGCCTCGCTAAACAATCCAACACGTCAACACTATCAGCCTCGCTAAACACTCCAACACGTCAACACTATCAGCCTCGCTAAACCCCCCAACACGTCAACACTATCAGCCTCGCTAAACCCCCAACACGTCAACACTATCAGCCTCGCTAAACACCCCAACACGTCAACACTATCAGCCTCGCTAAACACCCCAACACGTCAACACTATCAGCCTCGCTAAACACCCCCAACACGTCAACACTATCAGCCTCGCTAAACACTCCAACATGTCAACACTATCAGCCTCGCTAAACACTCCAACACGTCAACACTATCAGCCTCGCTAAACACTCCAACACGTCAGCACTATCAGTCTCGCTAAACACCCCCAACACGTCAACACTATCAGCCTCGCTAAACACTCCAACACGTCAGCACTATCAGCCTCGCTAAACACTCCCAACACGTCAGCACTATCAGCCTCGCTAAACCCCCCAACACGTTAACACTATCAGCCTCGCTAAACACTCCAACACGTCAACACTATCAGCCTCGCTAAACACTCCAACACGTCAACACTATCAGCCTCGCTAAAGACTCCAACATGTCAGCACTATCAGCCTCGCTAAACACTCCAACACGTCAACACTATCAGCCTCGCTAAACACTCCAACATGTCAGCACTATCAGCCTCGCTAAACACTCCAACACGCTACTGGTTTGCAAATTATTTATTAAATTAATCTTATAAAAACGACGTAAAAATATAGTGAAGCAGAAAAACTAGAACAATAAGCCATTCTACATATTGTCAATTGTTGTTAATCTTACAAAATGTTTCTATAGGTCTTCATGCTGTATATAGTTATTGATATTTATTACTATTCTTTATGCATGAAGCATTTTTGTGTTGAATATTTAACTTTAATTCTAATTTGGAACATAATAAATGATTGTTTATGTGGCAACATTGATAGTGAAAATTGTGTTAAATTCTTGAACATTTTATGGCAATAAATTGGATGAGCTTAGATTTAGGAAAAGCCTGGGTAAATATGCACTGCTTGGGAAATACGGTGGTTGATCAATGTACCAAATTATCAGGTACGTTAATAAACATGGATTACTTGCCAGTTTCAAGCGTTTGTTAGATATATCTATTCTAGAAGAGATACTCGGCGGTGCCCAGGTGCGTTCCCCCCTCCCCTCATCATCTCCTCACCCGCCCACCACTCTTCTCTTGTTCTCTCCACTTCAACCTCCCTTCGTTCTCACAACCCCTCCCTCTCTCTCTCCCCTCGTCTTCCCCTCTTTCTCCATTAAGGGAAGAGAAGATATACAAGAGGGAAGAAGGGTGTATGACCCTTAAACGGAATAGAAAAGAGAAAGGGACTCAAGATGAAGTTGAAAGATGGAGCAGCAGAGGTGTAGGGACACATGCCTAAGTATAGGGGTGAAGACAAAGGCTGGAGAAGAGGGGTGAGGGTATGTAGGGTTAAGTATAGGGCAGACGAGACACAGTCAAGAGTTGAGGGCTGATGTGGGGGGGGCACAGTCTGGAGTATAGGAGTGACGGGGACACAGTCTGGAGTATTGGAGTGAGAGGGGCACAGTCTGGAGAATAGGAGTGACGGGGGTACAGTGTGGCGTATTGGAATGAGGGAAGCAAAGTCTGGAGTATAGGAGTGAAGGGGCAGAGTCTGGAGTATAGGATTGAGGGGGAGGGGGCACAATCCAGGGTATTGGAGATCGAGGGCTACAGTCTGGAGTATATGAGTGAAGATGCACAATCTGAAGTATAGGAGTGAAAGGGGAGGCACCATTTGGAGTATTGGAGAGAAGGGGCACAGTCTGGAGTATACGAGTGAGGGGGGGGGGGGAACAGTCTATAGTATAAGAGTGAAGGGACACAGTCTGGAGTATATGAGTGAAGGGGGAACAGTCTGGAGTATATGAGTGATGGAGCACAGTCTGCAATAGAGGAGTGGGGAACAGTCTGGAGTATAGGAGTGAAGGAGGCATAGTTTGGAATATTGGAGTGAGAGGGGCCCAGTGTAGAGTATAGAAGTAAGGGGTGTTATGACCTCAGGTAGCCTAAGGAACGGGTTTACCTGTCTGAAAGTTATTCCGCCTACCGGACAAAATTGAGAGGTCAGAAGAAAAAAAAAAAATATATATATATATATATATATATATATATATATATATCGTACCTAGTAGCCAGAACGCACTTCTCAGCCTACTATGCAAGGCCCGATTTGCCTAATAAGCCAAGTTTTCATGAATTAATTGTTTTTCCACTACCTAACGTTTTCGGCTACCTAACCTAACCTAACCTATAAAGATAGGTTAGGTTAACCTAACCTATAAAGATAGGTTAGGTTAGGTTAGGTAGGGTTGGTTAGGTTCGGTCATATATCTACGTTAATTTTAACTCCAATAAAAACAAATTGACCTCATACATAATGAAATGGGTAGCTTTATCATTTCATAAGAAAAAAATTTGAGAAAATATGTTAATTCAGGAAAACTTGGCGTAGTGTGATGTTGTGATGTTGGCGTAGTGTGAGTGTGATGTTGGATGGCGATATTAATGTAAATGTATATTATTTTTCTGTGTTGTTAGGAAGACATTTTGTTACCGATTGGTAATGAAATTATAGGTTTTTATGGGAGAAGTTAATGAAGGAACTGTTCATCTGAAGAAGGTTGAGCTGAACTCCAGGTGTAGAGCTGAGCTCCAGATGGGGAGCTGAACTTCAAGCGGTGTAGGGGAGCTACACATTTCTTGGTGGAGCTTCTCTGACATTGGAGTGGGACTTCATGTGCAACGTGATTTTTTGAGGACCCAGATTGATGTTCTTGGTATTGGGCCTCAAGTAATAGAACTGGGTATCATATGCTCACATTGATGTATGAGAGAGTGTTTGATTGCATATTGGCATGAAAGGCAAGGTTTAAGGTGAGAGATTGATTTCTTTTTTGTTAGGGATATATATAGATGTTCCAGGTATTTCTGCCCCAAGCAGTGATGGGGGCAGTAGGTTGTGTGACAAGAGATGAGCAGCAGCCTGATAGTTTTTTGATGAAGTTAGGATAAGATATTGCAGTGTTGCCGGTTTGTAGCAGTCTGGAGCGTTGTACAATAATATTGTACATCTTTAGTTGTGTATACTTTTATGTAATAAACTAGCTGTATTCGGTCACGCATTGCTGTGGCTTAGCAACCCTGTTTCCCCGTCCTCCCCCACCATTCCCCCCCTCCCCCTTTCCCTCGTCCTGCCAACCATTCCCCACCTCCCCCATCCCCTCTTCCTCCCCACCATTCTCTCTCCTCCGTCTCCTCGTCCTCCCCACCATCCCCCACTCCCTCGTCCCCTCATGCTACTGACCATTACCCTCTGCCCCGTCACCTCGTCCTCTCCACCATCCTCCACTCGTCGTGGAGGATGGTGGAGAGGACGTACCTCTCATCCTATCTCGTCCTCATCACCATTACCCCTCCCCTGGCCCCTCGCCCTCCCCACCATCCCCCACTTCCCTGTCTCCTTGTCCTCCACACCATTCTCCATTCCCACATCCCCTCATCCCCAACATCTCCTACTCCCCTATCCCCTCATCCTCCCCACCATCCCCCTCCATTATTCTCCCTCCCACTCATCCCCTTCTCCTATCCCCTCGTCCTACCCACCATTCCCCACTCCCTTATCTGATGCATTCCCAAATGATCTGATGTTCCTATAAAAAAATGGGAGCATCATATGATCTGATGTTCCCATTACTAAAAAATAAGAACAGTTTAAAAAACGAAACGAAAAAAATAAAAAAATAAAAAACTATACTCACGAAATGAATGGTATGGTAAACAACACAGCTCAATTCCAACGCAATGTCAAACAAAATAATTAAATTAAAATGAAAATAAATCGAATGTATGAAAATCAATTTATCAATATAATCGGAAACATTGAAATGGAATCGTAACAAATTTAGTATGGTGTGTGTGTTGCTTTTATGTGCAACAGATAGTGCTGTTAAAAAAAAACATGTTTTTACCTGCCAGAGGTGTGGCATCAGTATAGTAAGTATATAAAAACACATGTATATTCGAATGGAACGTCGTGTCTAAATATATTTCAAGACAATCGGTGAAGAACTTTCGAGATTACAGAGTGTAATGCTGTTATGTCCAACTGATGGCACTGTTTAAAAAAAAACATGTTTTTACCTGTCACAGGTGTGGCATGTACAAAAATAGTTATATAAAAAACATGTGCATATTCGAATGCAACGTTGTGTCAAAATATCAAAGCATTCTGCAAAGAGGTTGTGGAGATTTTCCCCTCACATGAAAAACACAATTTATAAAAAAGCATGTTTTAACCTGTCATAGACTCATAGACGTGACATCTATAGTATGTATATAAACACACACTCGTATGCAAATGGAATGTTGTTGTGTCAGAGAGAGAGAGAGAGACAGACACAGACAGACAGACACACAGACAGACACACACACAGACAGACAGACACACAGACAGACACACACACACACACACACACACACACACACACACCCCCGCACACACACACACACACACACACACACACACACACACACACGGAGACGGTTGCGGTTGCAAACTGAGTGACAGTGGCCAATAACTCACAAAGGGGGATTTAAGTGATCATCCCATAATAAGGAGAGTGTGGGGGAGTCACGGCGACTCGATTGGGTGTGTATTCATGACAACTATGCCAGTTTGGAGCCGCACCCTTGAATAAAGATGACGCTGAACCAATCTCCGAAAACAAGACGCTTACAGGGTGATCTCTCAACTAATTGCATGCATTTCAGTGTCCAATACTGGTCGACTGACAACAGCAGGGGGTTTAGTTGCCGTGGTCGGCCGTATTTCTATCAGGGAGTGGTTGGGTCTCTGTTAGCAAGTGTCAGTCTGGTTCAATAACCCGTTCTTTGTCAAATCTAAAACAACCGTCTCTCGATAGTGGGCACAGTCTAGGGTACAGGAGTGAGGGGATGCACAGTGGAGTATAGGAGTGAGGTTGGCACAGTCTGGAGGAGAGAAAAAGAGGGCACAATATGAAGAATAGGAGTGAAGGGGCAAAGTCTGGAGTATATGAGTGAGGGAGTACAGTCTGGGTGAATAGGAGTAAGGGAGAACAGTCTGGAGTACAGGAGTGATAAGGGCACAATCTGGAGTAGAGAGGTTTCACTGTCTGGAGTTTAGAAGTAAGGAGGCACAGTCTGGATTAGATGAGTGAGGGGGCACGGTCTGGAGAATAGGACTGAGGGGGGGGAGGGCACAGTCTGGAGTATAGGAGTGAGGGAGCACAGTCTGGAGTATAGGAGTGAGGGAGCACAGTCTGGAGTATAGGAGTGAGGGAGGTACAGTCTGGAGTATAGGAGTGAGGGAGGTACAGTCTGGAGTATAGGAGTGAAGGGTGGCACAGTCTTGAATATAGGACTGAGGTTGGGCACTGTCTGGAGTATACGACTGAAGGGGCACAGTCTGGAGTATATGATTGAGAGGGGGGGGGGCACATTCTGAATTATAGGATTGAGGGAAGAAAAGTTTGGAGTAGATGAGTGAGGGGAGGAAAGTCTCGAGTAGATGAGTGAGGGACACAGTCTGGAGTAGATGAGTGAGGGGCACAGTCTGGAGTAGAGGAGTGAGGGGGGGCACAGTCTGGATTATAGTAGTGGGGGGGGGCACAGGCTGGAGAACAGGAACATGGAAACATTGGCTGGAGAACAGGAACATGGAGACATTGGCTGGAGAACAGGAACATGGAGACATTGGCTGGAGTAGAGGTACAAGGTGACAGGCTAGAGTAGAGGTACAAGGTGACATAGGCTGGAGAAGAGGTACAGGGTGACACATACTGGAGTAGAGGTACAAAGTGACAAAGGCTGGTGTAGATACATAAAGTGACACAGACCGGAGTAGACGTACAAGTTGACACAAACTGGAGCAGAGGTAAAAGGTGACACAGTTTGGGGTAGAAGTACAAGGTGACACAGGCTGGAGAAGTGGTATAAAGTGACACAGGCTGGAGAAGTGGTATAAAGTGACACAGGCTGGAGAAGTGGTATAAAGTGACACAGGCTGGAGAAGTGGTATAAAGTGACACAGGCTGGAGAAGTGGTATAAAGTGACACAGGCTGGAGAAGTGGTATAAAGTGACACAGGCTGGGGTAGAGGTACAACGTGACACATGTTTGAGTATAGGCACAAGGTGACAAAGACTGGAGTAAATGCACAAGATGACACAGGTATGATTTGCTGACATATTTGACACAGTATCGAGTAGTGGTACAAGGTGACACAGGGAGTACAGGTACAAGGTGACACAGGGAGTACAGGTACAAGGTGACACAGGGAGTACAGGTACAAGGTGAAACAGGCTAGAGTAGTGGTAGAAGATAACAGGATGGAGTAGAGATACAAAGTTACACAGACTGGAGTATTTGAACAAAGTGACACAGACTGGAGTAGAGGTACTCGGTAACACAGGTTGGAGTAGAGGTACAGAGTGACACAGGATAGAGTAGAGTTACAAGATGACACAGACTGGAGTAATGGTACAAGGTGACATAGACTGGATTAGTGGTACAAAGTGACAGACTGTAGTAGAAGTACAAGGTGACACAGTCAGGAGTAGAGGTACAAGGTGACACAGTCTGGAGTAGAGGTACAAGGTGACACTCACTGGAGTAAAGGTACAAGGTAATACAGTGTGAAGTAGAGGTACAAGGTGGCACAGTCTGGAGTAGAGGTATAAGGTGGCACAGTCTGGAGTAGAGGTTCAAGTGGCACAGTCTGGAGTAGAAGTTCAAGTTCAACACAGAGGTACAAGGTTACACAGTCTAGAGTAGACGAGTGATCAAACACAGTCTGGAGTAGACAAGTAATGGAACAGTCTGGAGTAGATGAGTGATGGAACACAGTCAGGAGTTGACGAGTGATGGAACACGTTCTGGAGCAGAGGGGTGAGGAGACACGGTCTGGAGTATAGGGATGAGGGGGAGACAGTCTGGAGTACAGTGGTGAGGAGACACGGTCTGGTGTACAGTAATGAGGAGAGACAGTCTGGAGTACAGGGGTGAGGAGACATAGCCTGGAAGAGAGAGTTGAGTAGAATGGAATCTGGCTGGAATACAGATACGCAAAGCTGAGTAGTGAGCGACACTGATATGAGTAAAGGTGTGGAGCGACAAAAGTCAGAGAAGAGGACTGAGATGACACAGTGTGGAGTGAAGTGGCCCATGTTGGAGACGTTGCGTGATGGTACGCATGTTGGAGCACGTATAGGCTCAGCGTGACTCTGGCCACAGTAGAACAGGGAGTTGGGACCACAGGCTGAGAGATGATGGGTTATGAAAGGCTACTCACCACGAAAGAGTCAGCGGCCACCGCGGTGCTGACGACTAGGAAACCCAAGACAAGAGCTGCGCCTCGCCTAACGTGGCAGCCATCCCTGTTGACAGAGGCCGCTGGCTTACTTCCATCGGCTGCCTTCATCTTGCCAGCTCACACATCAGCTGTGTAGGACCTGCAATGTTCACGCACATTGTTTCCACATGTTAGATATTATTTAAAAATTAGTAAGTGCCACTTATTATCCATACATTAACAACTAATATTAATTAATACATTAAGTTCTTATAATAATTATTACATTGAGAACTAATATTAATTCATACATTAAGTACTAATAATAATTCATACATTGAGTTTCAATAATAATTCATGCATTAAGTACTAATAATAATTCATACATTAAGTTCTGATAATAATTCATACATTAAATACTAGAAGGGGTACTCGGTGATGCCCAAGTCTGACTGTCTATCCCTCAGTCTGTCTGTCTGTCTGTATTCACCTAGTTGTATTGACCTAGTTGTGCTTGTGGGAATTGAGCTCTGCTTTTTCGGCCCGTCTCTCAACTGTTATTAACTACTAAAATAATTTTGTTCACACTCACACACACCCAAGAAGTAGCCCGTAGCAGCTGTCTAATTCTTAGGTACCTATTTACTGCTAGGTAGCAGGGGCATCAGGGTGAAAGAAACTCTGCCCATTGTTTCTCACCGGCGCCGGGAATAGAACCCGGGCCACAGGATTACGTGTGCAGCGTGCTGTCCACTCAGCCACCGCCCCCCCCCCGTTATCTGTTTGTTTGTCTCCTTGTCTATCAGTCAGTCAGTCAGTCTGTCTGTCACTCTCTCTCTCTCTCTCTTTCTGTACAGAGGATTCGGAGTAGAGATCCGAATTCTGGGGCGCCAGAATGCCATCTGGCGCCCCAGATGTTTCTTCTGTCTCAATAATTCACTTTTGCTGGCCCAGCGGGGCACCCAATTTGCACCGGAAGGTAGGCTGAGCATTCCCGGTGAGCACGCAACCCAATGTTAAACTCATTCACCCACAATGTTTATACTAAATAATAAGCCAATGCTAACAATTTTTGCATGACGCCGTTTGCGTCATCGGGAAGTATGGGTATTTTGGTTTTATGAGGCAATATGCGGCATCAGCCAGGGAAAGTGTTTTAACACACTCCACCTCCATACTTAACCCATTCACACACACCGTAAAACATCTCCGTCACCTCAAACCCAACCACTTGGGCAGGACAGTAGAGTGACGATCTCGCTTCATGCAGATCGGCATTCAAACCCCGACCGTCCAAATGGTTGGTCACCATTCCTTTCCTCAGTCCCATCCCAAATGATTATCCTGACAGGAGCCGATCGGAGCCGGTCGGCCGAGCGGACAGCACACTGGACTTGTGATCCTATGGTCCCGGGTTCGATCCCGGGCGCCGGCGAGAAACAATGGGCAGAGTTTCTTTCATCCTATGCCCCTGTTACCTAGCAGTAAAATAGGAACCTAGGTGTTAGTCAACTGTCACGGGCTGCTTCCTGGGGGTGGAGGCCTGGTCGAGGACCGGCCGAGGGGACATTAAAGCCCCGAAATCATCTCAAGATAACCTCAAGATCTCAAGATAACCTCAAGATCTCAAGATAACCCCCTTCCAAGCGCTGTACAGTCGTAATGGACGTGCGCTTTTTCCTGATAATTCCCTTCCCTTCATACTTTGAGGGTATACAAAAAATGTTCATGTAAATTTGCGTCAAAGCAATTGACGGATGGATAAGTAAATAAATGAACAGGGAGATGGATGGATAAAGAGATGGATAGAGAAATGGATGGATGTATGATTTGTTTAGAGACAGATGGATATATATATATATTTGGATTGATAGATTAATGGATAAATTTGAAGATAGTTAGATGGATAGATACATGTAAGGATAGATGGAAGAATAGATGGATCGACAAATAGATGATCGACAGATAGATGGATAGACAGATAGAAGGTTAGACTGAGAGATAAATGGATAGATGGATAGGGAGATAGACGGATAGAAAGCTGGATGGATTGATAAATCGAAGATGGGATTGATAGATGGAATGATATGTGGATGGATTGATATTTGAATGGATGGATAGCTAGAATAATGAAAAGATGGATAGATGAATGGCAGATGGATAGATGAATGTGCAGATGGATAGAGGATTAGATTGATGGATACATAAGCAGGTAGATGGATGGAAAGATATGTGGATAGACTGATTGATAGATATTTGGGTAGATGAATAGATGGATGGATAGATGAATGTATACGAGGATGGAGGGAAATATAGATGGATGGATAGATGGATGGATTCGTAAGAACATTGTCAGAAGCCAAACAAATCTCCCAGGACCGGAAGAAGTGTTTGCCAGGGTGCTTAAAGAATGAAAAGGCGAGCTTTGCGACCCGTTGTCTACCATACTTAATAATTCATTAGAGTCAGGCAGATTACCAGAGTCGACCAGTTTTCAAGAAAGGGAGATTACTTGCGTCAAACTATCGGCCAATTAGCTTAACATCTATAGTGGGAAGTTACTTAAATCGATAATTGGAAATACCATTGGTCTTCATCATGAAAAACGTCGATAAATAAATGACTCACAACATGATTTTACTAATGGATGTTCATGTTTTACTAATGGCTGTTCATGTTTAACTAATGGCTGTTCATGTTTAACTAATGGCTGTTCATATTTAACAAATCTGCTAATATTTTATTCCAGTATTGTTGAGGCAGTTGATAGTGGTAGGGCTATTGATGTTGTGTACCTTGAATTTAGCAAAGCTTTTGATACCTTTCCACATGAAAGATTGATTAAAAAAAATATAGGCTCTAGGTATTGGGGGTGCTATATTAAGTTGGAATAGGGTATAGCTATACCAAAGGAAACAAAGAGTTAGTATAAATGGGGTTAAGTCAGAATGGGAAATGTTATAAGTAGAGTGCCTCTAGGCTCTGTCCTGTGACCTCTGCTTTTCATAATATATATACATGAATTAGATTCAGGTCTGAGCAGCAATATTTGCAAATTTACCGATGATACAAAAATCTGGAGTCAAATAAACATGGAAAAAGACGCCATCACTTCAAGACAATCTAAATAGGGTTTTGAAATGGTCAAAAGATTGGCAGATGCAGTTTAATGCTGACCAGTGTCAGGTTTTGAGACTAGGTAATGATGATAGAGTTACAAGATACGAACTAGATGGTGTTGAGATTGCGAGGTCAGATTGCGAAAGGGATCTGGGAGTTATGATTATTAAGAATCTAAAACCAAAAATTCAGTGCATAAATGTTCATAATAAGGCAAATAGGACACTGGGATTTATTTATATAAGCGTCAGTAAAGAGACACCTGATGTTGTTCTTCAGCATGTCTTGCTCTTGTTAGGTCCCAATTAGATTATGCAGTTCAGTTTTGGTCGCCATACTATGGAATGGATATAAATCACCAGAATGTATCCAGGATTTTGATGAACTCTTAGTAGAATCCTTGAAATTTTTGTTAGCTTTCCAACCCACATATCAGGCTCGTCCCTCGATCTTGTCGTAACTTTTTTTTTTTTTTTGCAGGGATATTTTTTGTGCGGGCCCTAAGCCTCTCGCTGGCCCACTAAGTGTTGCTTGTTTCTACTGTTTTACTTGTGTGGAATTGTCGTAACTGACCTTCCTGCAAGCATAGTTCACTGCAGACCTCTGGGATATGTTGGTTCTTCAGAGCACCAGGCTGTCTTAACTACACTGGCTATCCTGACTGATCAAGGTTAAGAATCTGTTCAAACTATCTGGCTTTAGGACAGAGGGAACTGGCCAGCCGTCCGCTCAGAGCTTGAAGCAACCGATTGGAAGGTTTTGCTCCAGGGGAACGTAAACATTCAAGCAAACGCTTTCACCAGTCGTATACTGGACTCCAGTATAGACATATATCCCTCACTGGCACTATGTGACCAAGCTCACAGATAAGCCATTGTTTGAATATCGCTGCCGGATGGCGGCTGAAGCCAAAAACAAAGGCCTGGAGAAGCTTTAAAAGGCATCCCTCGGCTCATAACAGAAGCAATCAAAGACAATATTGTCGAATAATAAAATAAGTTCAAAAGTGGGCTATATCCAGATAGGAATCCGAAACTCGAAGAAAGCTTGCATCTGGAAGGGTTGGATCCAAGGTCTGGTGGTCTTAGGGGAAGGATCAGTATGGATACTTATCTGAGGACACAATCCCGCCTCTAAACAGAGAGGATGGAACTGTTGCAACCAGCAATCAGGAGAAGGCTGATCTACTGGCAAACTTCTTTGCTGCCAAGATTCAAGTCCCTGATCCTGAACGTCAGCCTCCACATCTTGCCCCATGCTCTGTGTCTAGGATGACTGAAGTAGTTATACAGTAGGCTAAAGTTCTCCATCTCCTTAAAACGCTAGACAAAAACAAAGCTGTGGGGACAGATAAGGTCAGTCCAAGACTACTACGCAGCTGCGCTGACCTGTTGGCTTCACCTCTCACGTGCCTCTTCTAACTCTGCTTAGCTCAAGGAATTTGGCCCTCCTTATGGAAGGCGGAATATGTTGTTCCAGTGCACTGAAAGAAGAGACGCTCAGTGGTTGGTAACTACAGACCAGTGTCACTACTCTCCATTGCTGGTAAAATACTTGAATCATTTATCGCTCAGCATATGATATAATTTTTTTTTCATCATCGGCCAATATGTGAAAGACAGTATGGTTTTAGAAAAGGTCGACCTGCTGCTCATCTCTTACTAAATCTCTCCAAAAAGTGGCATCAGTCACTGGATGAGTTCAGGATCAGCGGTGTTGTTGCTCTAAACATAGCAGGAGCCTTTGATCGGGTCTGCCACTCTGGATTAGTAGTGAAGCTTCAAGTACTTGGCATCTAAGGCTCCATCTTAGAGTTAATAAAAGATTACCTTCAAGAACGAACCCTAAGGGTAGTCCTTAATGGAGCAGAATACGAAAGCCACTCGATTGGTGCCACCGTTCCACAGGGTAGTGTACTTGGCCCTCTGCTGTAGAATTTCTATTTCAACGATATACTTTATCGTATTCCTGAAGCCGAAGCCTATGCTGATTGATGACTGCACTCTAACCTTCACATACAGAAAGGGAGAAATGCCAACTGC